TCCACTACATGGAACCTTTTGTGCAATGCAAAGATTCCATGGATGTTAAAGGTATTTCATGGAAGCATAGATGCTAATAAAGAACCCTTATATTTAAAGGGTTAGTTCACCCAAAAATTACAATTCTGTCATTAATTACTCACCCCCATGTCGTTTCAAACCCGTAAGACCTTCGTTCATCTTCGGAACACAAATTAAGATATTTTTGATGGAATCTGAGAGCTGTCTGACCCTGCATAGACAGCAACGCAACTGAAATGTTCCCAAGTCCAGAAACGTAGCAAGGAGATCGGTAAAATAATCCATGTGACATCAGTGGTTTAACCGCAAAGCTACGAGAATACTTTTTGTGTGCAAAAGAAAAAAAAAAGACTTTATTCAACAATTCGTCTCCTCCGCATCACCCTAGTGTCATTTTGGAGAATATCCGCTGGACGCAAACAACGTATGCTGTTCTGTGTCAGCTGCGTCACACGTCACATGCTGTTTCCATTCAGATCAAATCACAACAGCGTAGGAAACAGATCCGGCATACGTTATTTACGTCCAGCGGATATTCTCCAAAATGGCACTAGGGTGATGCGGAGAAGACAAATTGTTGAATAAAGTCGGGGGGTTTTTGCGCACAAAAAGTATTCTCGTAGCTTCGTATAATTGTGGTTGAACCACTGACGTCATATGGATTATTTTACCGATCTCCTTGCTACGTTTTTGAACATTTCAGTTGCGTTGCTGTCTATGCAGGGTCAGACAGCTCTCAGATTCCATCAAAAATATCTTAATTTGTGTTCCGAAGATGAACGAAGGTCTTACGGGTTTGAAACGACATGAGGGTGAGTAATTAATGACAGAATTTTCATTTTTGGGTGAACTATACTTTTAAGAGTTTAATGTGGGCCTATAACCAATATTGTACCGATATTCATATCACCCAAGTTTATGATATACTGTTTACTATTATTTCTCCACAGTATTGGCTACATTGATGTAGTTACCATCCCAGCTGGGGCGACTAATATTGACATAAAACAACGCAGTCATCGAGGCATCGCACACGATGGTAACTACTTGGCGGTAAAGGCAGAAGATGGAACCTACATCCTGAATGGGAATTTCTCAGTGTCTATGGCAGAGCAGGACATCCCAGTGCCTGGCGCCATGCTTCGCTACAGCGGCTCTTCCACCACCTTGGAGCGACTCCTCAGCTTTTACAGACTTTGGGAGCCCATCACCATCCAGCTGCTGTCCACCGCTGGGGACACCTCACCTCCTAGGATCAAGTATACTTTCTTTTTGCCGAGGGATGTGCCTTTTAGCAAGCCAGGCACAGACAGCAGAATTTCGCCACATGTCATCTTGCCTTTTGGGGGAGCTGACTGGGTCCTGGGTGAGTGGTCTGAGTGCTCCAAGAGCTGTGGTGCTGGATGGTCCAGGAGAAGCGTGGAGTGTAGAGATGGGGAGGGATCCTTGTCTTACCTCTGCGATGCCGACCTGCGACCAGCAGACATCCGGCCCTGTGGGGATCTGCCCTGTCCCATGTGGCAAATGGGGCCATGGTCAGCATGCTCTCAGACTTGCGGTGTCGGACAGCGCCACCGCACCGTAGTCTGTGTGGACTACACGGGCAAGGTTCTAGGGCATGAGAAGTGCAACCCAGACAAGAGGCCAGAGGTAGTTGTAGGGGAATGTTTTTACCAGGACTGCTAAAACTGACATTGTGTGGAGTAGTAGAGAATGAGAAGGTGGTGGGATCCGTAGTGTCTCTAGTGACTGAGAAAAAGCTTCAGAAACAAGCAAAGAAGCTCTTGGGAGGATAGAGCATTAGATTGGAGATGACTTATCAAGCATAACCAGGACATTTGATATGAATTATTATCTATATCATGGTTTAATCTAATTCTCTTTTAACCACAAAGGTAACCTCCCACGGAGATCTACCTCAGTCAATACAAGCTTCATAATGTTCATGGTCGTTGGAGTCCTTTGGAAACATTTGCACAAACCTGCTGAAATTCTGTTCAAAGGTGGTCACATAAATTATTCAAGTCAGAGCATCCACCTTTCTAGAATTGTCCACAACGGACTGCATTTTAGTATCTTTATACATGCTAGACTAATTAATTTCACACATTTATTTTTATTGCCAGCTTATGTTTTGTAGCATTGGGTCTGTTTCATATTGATATCTATTACTTTTAATACTGGTATCACCCTCAAAGGCTTTCAGATTTTTCAAATTACAACACTGGAGGAAACAATATTTGGAAGTACAGTCCTTTACTGGTCACACAATAGGTGTATGTGAACAGCGTACACAGATAAGAGCTGTTGGAATCGATACAAAAATGCTGATTTTACCTTTAAAATGTTGCCTGGTTATGACTGTTGATTTGGATGAATGATTTTAGTTTGTAATGAAGAATCAAAGTGGAATTGCATTTTCTCTCACACTGTTGGTCTTTCTGTACATATATACAGCCATTAGGCAACAAGCTATGCCAGCCTGAGAGCAACAGTGTAAAGACTGCAAAGTGTGCCTTAAATTAATTAATGTTTCTATTGGCATCCACTGGTGCACATTACTTAAATGGAATCATTTAAAATAACCGATACTGGCATATGTGAGTTTACTGGAGAAAATAATTTATTTGCTAAATGTTCATTTAGAAGTGGATAATTACTGTATATTATTGGACACACATGTGCCCTCAAGATAATTGCAATGATTACTAAGACACAAAAAAGAGAAAATACATTTCTTGTGAAAGACACATTGAGATTGCATGCATCTTTGCAATCTATATTCTGTTAATTTGTCCTTACTTATCCTTAGCTTTAGTTGACACTGTATACATGCATTTCAAAATCTACCACCCACATACCCATTATAGGAATAAAGAGAAAAAAATAATCTGAATGTTGTTAATAAATATTATTTTATTTAATGAGACAACTATGGGTAAACAGTTTATTTAAACGCAACAGTTCTGAGCAGACATTGCTGATATTTCTGAAATTTTCCCTTTAGCCAGAAGAGCACTGATATTTGTTGCAAGAGCCGTTTCACATATGGCAAAATTTAATTTAATTTGATACCTGCAAATTGACTTAGCCTGTAATGTAATTGAATAGACCCTGTAAGAATTTGAAAATATGAGAGAAAAGATTTGCATTCCATTTGAGTCAAAATTATGCAAGTTTTGAAATGGTGCATATTTGAAACTAAAGCATTCTATCCCTTCAATGAAGGTCTGCACAATGCTATTGTTATAGCTTCCTTTTACAAGCTATTTATTTTTTCTACCTTTAACAACTGTTTTTTTTCCCCTTGATGCTGCTCTCTGTCTTATACATGACTGATGTATGAATTTAAATCAATTAAATATGTCTACAAACAAATTGTTCTTGATTAATTTGTAAGGCCTCCATGTCAACACATTGTTAACCAATACACTGTTACCTTAAAAGGATAGTTCACCCAAAAAAGAAAATGTGATGTTTATCTGCTTACCCCCAGGGCATCCAAGATGTAGGTGACTTTGCTTCTTCAGTAGGATACAAACTAAGATTTTTAACTTTAACCATTGCAGTCTGTCAGTCTTATAATGCATGGCAATAGCAACAGAATCTACGAGAGTAAAAAAAACATACAGACAAATCCAAATTAAACCTTGCGGCTTGTGACGACACATTGATGTCCTAAGACACGAAACAATCGGTTTGTGCCAGAAACCGAACAGTATTTATATAATTTTTTACCTCTAATACACCACTATGTCCAGCGGTGCGTGAGGTGTGGACGCGCTCTGGCGTGGTTTACGCAAGCACCGGAAGTGATCTCTCGCATGTATACGACACTCATGTTTACACAGTGCACAGTCATTGTAGGTACGACGGCTAATCAAAATGGTACTTACTTGCGCTTATCCGGATTGTTCAACTTAAAACCGACTTAATACTAAAAGATTACGTTCTCTCGCGCGAACTCATTCAGGAGTGGTGACTTTCCACATATTCCCAACTTCTGAGCCTGCTCGCCTGAAGTTATGGTTGATTCGGCTGGATATCAACACACCCATTAACGTAAACTACGCCAGAGCGCGTACACACCTCACTCACCGGATGCCCTGCGTGCGCCCAAAGACAGTTGGACATAGTGGTGTATTAGAGGTAAAAAAATGATATAAATACTGTTCGGTTTCTGGCACAAACTGATCGTTTCGTGTCTTAGGACATCAATGTGTCGTCACGAGCCGCAGGGTTTAATTTGGATGTCTGTGCATGTTTTGTTTACTCTCATAGATTGTGTTACCATTGCCATGCATTATACGACTGATAGACTTAAAAATCAACGGTTGGACTTAAAAATCATCAAATGTGTTCTACTGAAGAAACAAAGTCACCTACATCTTGGATGCCCTGGGGGTCAGCAGATAAACATCAAATTTTCATTTTTGGATGAACTATCCCTTTAATTATACAATTCAATTCATAAAACATTTTAGCAATGAAAAGCTGTCCATACAGAACATACACATGACAACTTATGTCCAGACTAACAAAATGCTAAGATAAAACCTCAGCGTGCTAATCAAAACAGAGAAGATGCAAATGTAGTTAAATAAGGACTCTGTGTTAGAGACATGTGCATGTCTGCTTATTCTGCTAGATTTTGTGAGGAGGAAGGTAAGTTTCCTACTTTCAACCAAACCATTAAAAAAATAGACAGTATACTGTCACAAGTAACATAAATCCAACAGTAAGTGCTGATTCTAGGTTATTTTATCATCTCGAAAAGGGCAAAGACGACACTTGACAGAAGAGATTTCTAGATCCAGTAACCTGCAGTCTGAAACAAAACTCTTTGATACCCTAAATGGTCTACAAAAATAAAATTCATGCTTTTATTTTGTGTTATTGCGTCATCACAGCGCTTTTGAAGTCATCAGTAAAAATGAAAGGTCAGTCGCACAAGCCCCGTGAAAAGCATTCTGGGATACAATATGTAAACATCAGCCTCAAACCTGTCAGACGAGATACCAATGCATTTTATACACAATGCAAATTTGAACAGACTTCTTTTTTATGATTTTGCCTTTTAATACACTCGACTTCGTGATTTATCGGGATGTGACTATGCTGTCAAGAAGCGACAGTACTTCTGTGCAAGTGTCAGAATGCTAGCAGCCAGTTAGCTCGCTGCTGGATCACATTCATGCGCTTATAGTTGTCTTACATTTCAACGGATTCGTCCATTCTTTGTTACCGGTGAGCTGCACAGATATACATCCAACACAAGAAATGTTTCGTACACTGTGTTGACACTGACGACACTGTTTTAGTCATCATCAGAGATTAGCGTGTTAGCCAATGAATGCTGCAGGTCAGCTGGACCTTGTTTTTGGACTCTGAAAACCGTAATGCATGTTAATATTCTTGAGTATATTTTATGCACACGTTTCTGGTAATGTCACATTGTTAAGTCTCGGGTTTTTCATGTATTAATCGTAACATAACTCTCTAGTTTACACATCGTCTAGTTTACAATAGCAGGCCACATCCAACCTGTCAAAATACGCAGTTTTTGGTGATGAGAAATTCAAGTGTGAACCAAATGCATGAATCTAAACCTTTGATATGGGAGCTGGATATAAACTATTGAGAATTACATTGTTACGGCTACTACTGAGAATAAGTGCTTGCTATAATACATGAACAAAAGCAACTCGTGTGTAAAGCCACGCCCCTCTAACGTCCCCTGAGGATGAATTTGACAGCCATCAATAAAATGTCATTGTCCCCTCCCGTAGTTATGTATAGATCAGTGATGGGCAAACTTGGCCCTTCCAGGCCACTTTCCTGCAGAGATTTGATCCAACCCTGATAAAAATCACCTGCCCAGGGGCGTAGCCATCATTTCAGAAGTGAGGGGGACAGAAAAGTTTTATATATATATAAATAAAACATTACAATATAACATTTCTGTAATCTATATAACGTACCAGTCAACAGTTTTTGAATAAGGCAGAATAGTTTCAATACTGTAATAAATGCTATGTCAATTAGCACTGCATTGTTCATATACTTTATTTATTACCTGGAGATGACTTGACAAACACAAATAAACCATATTGTCGCAATCGTATGTTTAAATTTTTCATGTTTCCAAACGTTTCTGTTTTTCTGAAAACAACTGCTTTCATACAGCGATAGCTGGACGCTTTTGTCCATATTAGGAATTTCCTTGTACGACTTTCTGCGAGAGCTCCCTCCGGCTTCGAGTATGAATGAAACATACACTGCATGAGTGTTTAGCGCTCCGTGATGTTCATCTCGCCTTATTCTGGGTCCGAATAAAACATCAGATCATGCACAGACTATCCTGTCTCTTTGAATTTAAATCTATATTTATTCACACCGGCTCTTGAAAACCTCTATGCGAACACACTTGCCCGAAAAAGTGCGGAGACGAATTTACGTGATATTAAAAGTGGGGGGGGGACACGTCCCCCGTGTCCCCCGCGTAATCTACGCCCCTGCACCTGCCTGTAGCCTTCTAGTAGTCTTGAAGACAATGATTAGCTGGTTCAGGTGTGTTTGATTAGGGTTGGATCTAAACTCTGAAGGAAAGTGGCCTGGAAGGGCCAAGTTTGCCCACCCCTGGTATAGATGGATGATATTGTCTCTAATTAGGTTTTTTTGTTTTGTTTAGTTTTTTTTAATTTTGATATTGGTATGGTATTTTTGATGCGCTTCCCGTAAACTTCCCTTTCTAAAATATATATAGGTCAGTGGCCCTTGCCTTGGTATTTTTGGCAGAATTCGGCCCTCTGCGAAAACTAATTGACTAGAATAAGAGAATTTTCTTTTTCTTTTCTTGAGTTAACTATCCCTTTAAAAGGCTTCCAAAATGAATATGAAGATAACAGGTTCAAAATATATAATGATTAAAGATTCATCCGTGAATTACCTTTCTAAAATATTTTAGAAAGGGAAGTACAATTTTTTATATATATATATATATATATATAAATAGTTGTTATTATTATTATTACAATTATTATATTATTGTTGCTTTTG